TTTGCTAATGTGATGAGTTACACTGATTGTTTTTCTTTTGTTGAACCATCCTTGCATACCTGTTATGAATCCTACTTGGTCATGGTGAATTACTTTCTTGATGTATTATTGGATTCTATTCTTCAGGGATTTATTAATGATTTATGCATTTATGTTCATGAGAGATATTGGCCTATAGTTTTCTATTTTGCTCATGTCTTTACCTGGTTTTGGTATAGAGGAATGTTTGCTTCATAGAATGAGTCTGAGAGAATTCCATCTTTTTCTATTTTCTGGAATAGTTTATGTAGAATTGGTGACAGTTCTTCTCGGAATGTTTGATAAAATTCACTTGTAAAGCCATCTGGTTCCGGGCTTTTTTTGGCTGGAAGTTGTTTTATTACCTTTTCAATTTCTTCTTTTGTAATGTTCAGGTGTTCAATTTCAGTTTGTGTCAGTTTATGTAGGTTGTGAATTTCTAAGTATTTGTCCATTTTCTCTAGGTTTTCATATTTGTTTGAATATAGTTTTTAATAATATTCCATTATTAACCTTTTTATTTTAGGTGGTTTTGTTGTGACATTGCCTGTCTCATCTCTTATTCTGATTACTTGTGTCTTTTCCTTCTTTTGTCAGTTTTGCTAGTGGTTTGTCAATTTTATTGACCTTTTAAAAGAACCAATTCCTGGCTTTGTTGACTGCTGTTGTTGCTGTTATGTGCCGTCGAGTCGTTTGCGACTCATAGCAACCCTATGCACAAGAGCCCTAAACCCTGCTCTATCCTGCGCCAACCGCACTGCCTCTGACACACCCATCCCGATTACCCCAGTCACAGAATCAATCCATCTCACAGAGGGTCTTCCCCTCCTGCACTGTCCCTCCATCCTCCCAAGCATGATGTCCCTCTCCAAGGACCCGTCCCTCCTGGCAACATGTCCAAAGTATGTCAGACGAAGCCCCAGAATCCTTGCCTCCAAGGAGTAGCTTGGTTTAATCCTCTCCAAGATGAATTTGTTTGTTTTCCTGGCAGTCCATGGTACATTCAGTACTCTCCTCCAGCACCACAGCTCAAAGGCATCAACTCTTCTTCTGTCCTCCCTAGTCATTGTCCAACTCTTTGATGCATAACAAGCGATTGCAAAGACCATGGCCTGTATCAGGCACACCTTAGTCTCCAGAGAGACACCGTTGCTCCTGAGTACTTTAGAGAGGGCTTTGTTGATAGTTTAAATTTTTTTCTTTTTCTTTTTCTTTTCTTTCTGCCAGAATTTTTATAATTTCCATTTTATTAGAAAGTGTCAGGTTTTCTTGCTGTTCTTTTCAATTTGTTGGAGATGTTGGTTTAGAGAGTCAATGGTCATTTTTTCCTGTCTTTTAATGTGTTTTCTTATTGGTATAAATTGACCTCTGATTACTGTTTTAGCTGTGCCCCAGAGGTTTTTGTAAGTTGTGTTTTCATAATCATTTGTTTAAAGAAACATTTTCTTTCTTTTATTTCTTCTAGTATCCACTCATTTTCAAGCAAGATGTTATTCAGCTTCCAAATGTATGGGACTTTTTTCTTTATCCTCTTGTTATTAATTTCTAATTTTGTAGCACTGTGGTCTAAGAAGATGCTTAGTATTATTTTTATGCTTTTGAATTTATGGATACTTGCCTTGTAGCCTAAAATGTTATCTATTCTGGAGAATGTTCCATGCACATTGGAGAAGAAGGTATACTGTCCGTTTTTTGGGGTGCATTAGCCTATAAATAGCTATTAGATCAAGTTTGTTTATTGTGTGATTTTTTTGAGTTTCTTTCTGGAAGTTCTATATTTTCTTGAGAGTGGTGTATTGAAATCTCCAACCACTATAGTAGTGTTGTCTATTTCCTTTTTCGGTTTTGTTAATGTTTGCATGTCGTTCATTTGGTTCATAAATATTTATTATTGTTATATCTCCTTGTTCTATTGACCCCTTAATCATTATGTAGTGACCTTCCTTATCCTTTATGATGGTTTTTGCACTGAAATCTATATTATCATAAATTAGTATTGCTACTCCTGCTTTTTTCTGGTTGTCATTTGCTTGATATATTTTTCCCACCCTTTTATTTTTAGTCTTTTTTTTATCTTAATTTTTCAGGTGTGTCTCTTGTAGATAGCATATTGATGGATTTTGTTTCTTTATCCAATCTGCTAATCTTTTTCTCATCAGTGGTGCATTTAAAGCATTTACATTCACTGTGATTATTGAAAGGCAAGGTTTCAATGCTATCATGTTGTTGAGTTCTTTTTGGTGTTATCGCTAATTACTTTGGTCCATCTTGCTTTCTGTGGCACCTCTGTAAGAAGGGTGTCTCTCAGTGTTTCCTGCAATGCTGGTCTTGTTTTTGCAAACTCTCTTAGCTTCTGTTTTCCTGGGAGTATCTTGACCTCTCCTTCATATTTGATAGACAATGTTGCTGGGTACAACATTCTTGGTAGATAGGTGTGTTCTTTGAGTTTTTGATGTATGCTATCCCATTGTCTTCTTGCTCTCATGGCTTCTGCTGAGAAATCGGCATTTAATCTTATTTGCTTTCCCTTACAGGTTACTCTTTGTTTCTACCTTGCTGCTTTCAGAATTCTCTCCTTATTTTGATTCTGACAAATTTAACTATGGTATGCCTTGGTTTTTTTTGTTGTTGTTGTTTTTTGGTCTATTCTATATAGTGTTTACTCAGCTTCTTGAATATATATTCTCTCATCCTTCATTATACCTGGAAAGTTTTCCTCTAGGAATTCTTCCACAGCTTTTTCAGTGCCTTTACTTGCTTCTTCCTCTTCTGGAATTCCGATGATGTGCATGTTATTTCTCTTGATGGTGTCCCACATTATTCTTAGGTTTTCTTCTTTTCCTTACTTTTTGATTCTGCTTTTTGTTCTAGTGGATCAAATCTATC